GCACACACACACACACACACACGCACGCACACACACACACACACACACACACACACACACACACGCACGCACACACGCACGCACCATCACCACCACCACCACCACCACCATCATCATCACTGTCTCAGGGCGGGTCGTTGGCCGCACCGCGCGGGTCGACATTCTTCATCGCCGCTGACGCCGCCGCCACCGTCGAGGCAAAGGCAGACACAACCCTCTTCCGCGCTTACTGCTGAACCGTGCCACCCACGGTCACCCGTTGTTACACACACACACACACGCACACACATACACACACACACACACACACACACAGTGTTTCGCGTTGTTTTGATGACGTTGCACCACACTACTGTTGTTGCGTGTTCTATTCAGGCTGCAGTACACCACACACACACATCACACACACACACACACACACACACACACACACACACACACACACACACACGTGAGTGAAAGCGACGCATGATACCGGAACGCGTTCATGCAAAGCAAATGTAACCAAACACTGCAGCGGGCGCAAATAAAACAAAATTGTGGCATACATTAACGTGCACACGCGCACGGCACCCCGGGTGCGAGGTACATCCTCTCATTGCGCACACAACGCATGTACAAGTGTGCAAACATACACACCACACGGCACAATACTTAAAGGGAGCAGAAGGGGAGATCAACAAACACCCACACACACATGCACTCAAAAGCACTCTAGCACGCCATCACTCCCAAAGCGTGGGCTGTGACCAGGGCGGGGGCGCGGTTGTGAGACCGTGGGGCGCTATCAACGGCAGCTTCTTGTAGCTGAGGGGCACCGGGTACACCGTCTGCTTGCCGCGAATGGCGTCAATGAGCTCGCGCGCGCCAGACCACATGAAGCCAAGCGCAAACAGCGCCGCGAGAAACGGCAGCAGCACCACCAGCACCACCAGATACCAGATGATGTCGCGAACACGGCGCAGGGCTGCAGCCATCACCGACGGTGACTCGTCGCCCGACTGCCACGCGCTGTCCACCGTGACCACATCCCCGCTGCCCGCAATGACAAACGTGGAGAAGTGGCGCTTCCGGCACACGGGGCACGTCTCCGTCTGGCTGATGCAGTCGAAGCAGAACGTGTGCGCGCACGAGCACAGCGCAGGCTCGCGCATGCGTGTGCATAGGCAGACGGGGCAGCCTGTGGCCGACACCTCTGCGTCGCTCTCCTCACCACCCGATGCTTCGTCCGTGCGCGTTGCCTGTGCCGTGCTCGCTGGTGTAGAGTGTATCGCAGGGGTCGCGGTGGCCCCGCTGGTCGCGTTCGCTGCAGCAGTGGTGTTGCTGCCACCTGTGTGTGTTGTGCCGCTTGGTTTGGCCGCGCCGCGGGTGAGCGCCGGCGACCGTATTCTGTTGTCATCATCACATTGCTTTGTGCTGTCGTTTCGGTTGACTCGTCGCCGTCTCACTGTCGCCACTGTCGCTGGTGTGTCAGCGGCGTGCGCTGCAGAGTGCGCTGTGTCCTCGTGCTCCAGGTCTTCTTCTTCATCAATGCCTGATTCCCGTGCATCATCCCCTTCACCATGAGAATCCATCGCACTGCCATCAAGCCCGCCACCATTGTGCACTCCAACCACGCGTCCCGCTGCTGCTGCTGCTGCTGGATCTGCATCCTCATCCCGCTCACCATCGTGCGCACCATCGCCGTTGCAGGTACTGTCACCATCATCACCGTGGCAGTCAGCCGCGCTGCTGATGTCATTGTCGTCGCTACGGGAGGATGTGCCGGTGTCTGGGCGGGCGGGAAGGTCTTGCAGCATGGCCAGCATGCGAGCAGGCTCCATGGACACATACGGGTACCACTGCTCAAGCATCGTAGAGGCTGTGTCATAGCAATGGCGGTCATGGCGTGTGATGGGCCGAAGAGGGGGGGGGGGAGGTGAGGGAACGCTGACACGAGAACAGTCAGAAGAGGAGGGGAGGGAGGGGCGAGGAGAGAAATAAGGAGGAGAAAAAGTCAGACAGGCAGACAATGGAGAAGGCAGGAAAGGGGGGAAGAGAGGAAATGCAACAAGATGTAAGAAGGAACGAGCTGTTGCGGCCACATGGACCGCACATGCAACCGACGCTTTAGCACCACAGGTACAGGCATTGCAGTTGAGAATGAATGTACTTGTATCGGGGAGGATGCCCTGGCCTAGCCGACGGCGAATCTTCTTCGTGATCTTCTCGACCGCCGTGTAGTTCCATTGCCCAAACCCTGCCGTTTCACAAAGCAGACACGAGAGTGATGAGCACCAACGTCGCCACTGCATACAGAAGTTGGGAGAGATATAGATACAGGGAGAGAGAAAGAAAGAAAGAGAGAGGGGGGGGGAGAGATAAACGTAGGGGCAGAGAGAAAGAGGGGGGGGGGAGGAGAAGGGGGAACACAGAAGGTCACACACACAAGCTCACACACATACACTCACACACACACACATACAAGCTCATAACACTCACAAGCTCACAACACTCACACACACAAGCTCACAACACTCACACACACGCACCGACGAGCTGGTTGATGCGGCGTTCCAACGAGGCAATGGCCGATTCCCTGACTGCAGCACAGTTCCAGCTCTGCTTCTGCAGCTACCGGGGTGCGTACACATGTGCGCATGCACGAGAAGAAGAGAATGGGTGAGCCACAAAGGAAATGCGTGGTTGGCTCGTGATTTAGGCTCATGACACGAGGAGTTGGCAAGCAGCAGCCGCCGCCGAGTGGTTGGTACCTTCGCGTACATACCTCGTTGAAGGTGCGCATGCAGTCAAACTCTTCCTGGCGAAAGTGGTGCTCCACCTTTTCCATCTGTCCCAAAATGCAAACACAACAGCGCGGGTCAGGAAACCAACAATCCTGGCTCAAAGGCAGCTTGTTGGGTGCATCGGGTTTGGTTTGACGACACCACACACACACACACACACACACACACACACACACACACACACCTCGAGGTGGAGGTTCTTTTGTACAGCAGAGATATCCTTAGACTTGATGTGTTGTTTGATGGTGTTGTAAGCAAAGTACTTGTGTGGCTGCCCGCTTCGAGCGGCCTCGGCCTCGATGCGTGCTCCAAACTTCATGTCTGGCACCACAAGGCGGAGAGAAAACCTTCGGCTGGCTGTTGGAGCTTGACAAAGCGTGTATCTGCTGTGTGGTTGGCTGTTGTGTGGTTGGCTGCACAAACAAAAACACAATCGAAGAAATGGGCACGAACGGATCGATGGTGATGGTGTGGTTCCCGTATTGCTTGCTTGCTTGTTTGTGTATTGGTTGGTGGCGCAAGAATGCTTGCTCCGGTGGTTGCTTCTGTTGCGGTTGTGCGCTATTTTGGTGATGTTTTACAGCAAATTTCAACAATTGCATTGTCATATTTTATGCTGTCGGCAATGAAGATCTGTGCTGCCGCGCGGCGTTCAAAACAGCTGCACTGCTGTTTGTCTCCCACAACGCAACTCACACACATACACACACAATACACACACACACACGTGTCTCAGGAGTCTGTGCTGAGATGGATGCAGTAGCTGCTCTGAAGGTAGGCGTGCAGTGCCGCTTGGGAGGCGTGCGATGAGCGGGTGAAGGTCCCTGCCGCTGTTGAATTCATGTGGTGCAGCTGCTTCCACCCCGACGTCGCCGATGACGACGATGATTTCGACGATGCTGGTGATGATGATGATGAGGATGGCGAGGGTGCGACCACAGCACCGGTGTGCTCGTTGCTTTCATCTACAACGTCGTCCACAAGCACCTTGGCCATTCGTTCCTTGAACCCAGCGTGAGTGAGTGAGTGAGTGAGTGAGTGAGTGTGAGTGAGTGGGCGAGTGAGTGAGTGAGTGAGAGAGTGTGTGTGAGTGAGTGAGTGAGTGAGTGAGTGAGTGAGTGAGTGAGTGAGTGAGTGAGTGAGTGAGTGAGTGAGTGAGTGAGTGAGTGAGTGAGTGAGTGAGTGAGTGAGTGAGTGTGCGTGCCAGTGACAATCAGTTGCCTCCGAGGTTGCATATGCAGCGAGTGCAGGTGGCAATTCTTGTGTGCGGTTTACCTTGCATGGCCGTCCTCTTGCATCTAGATCAACGTGCTGCGTCCGCAAACGCTTCAGAAATTCCCCGACATCTGCCGGTTCTCCTACAATCACAAGATAGATTACGTTGTGCTGTAATGTAATGTAATGTAATGTAACACATTCGACGAAGCAAAAAGTGTGCACGTGTGCCCGTGAGTCAGCGATTGAAGGAGAGAGGTGGACTGAAAGTCACCGATGATGCGGTGTGCAAAACGTTGTGTTCAACACAACCAGTGGGTCGGGCACACATGTACACGCGAGCCGTACCCAGGTGGTAAGATGGCCCATGACAGTCGTCTCCGCGCAAGCCTTCAGTCGTCACAAAGCGGCATCACAGAGACAGGGCATTTGCACAGCGTCACAAGCGTCACACAGGTGTCGAACGCGTCACGTGAGTGTCCCAACTATCGTATGCGACACAAACACGCACACGAAAAACGACAACACACACAACACACACACACAACACACACACACAACATACAACACAACACATACACAACACACATACACAACACATACACAACACGCACACAACGCACTTGGCGGAGGAACTTAAAATACGTCTTTGGACTGTGCATGTGGTCAATATGAATGAGGGCCCTTCGCAACGCTGTGTCAAGTTTGGGCGATGGCCGTGGCCGTGCAAGTGATGATGATGATGATGGCGGTGGTGAAGATGACGAGCGGTGTGGACGAGAGCGGCATGCATCATCGGCACCGATATCGGCAATGTCCAAATTCAAAGCGTAGTCGATGAGGGGGAACAAGCACTCGTCTCCACTCTCCACGTTCTCGCTGGTCGACATAGGCAGAGAGGGAACGGAGAAATCAGGGGAACGGGAACATGTTGGAAAGCGTGAGCGTACAAAACGGGCGAGGGGGTGCATTGGGGGAAATAAGCACGGCATACAGGGACAAAGCAAGTGAATGCGCGTGACATACACACACTGCCAACGCACCTGAGGTACTGGCGAAGCATGGCCAAGACGACATCGCACAGCTGCAGTTGCACGTGCCAAACACACAAGAGCATGGTGAAAAAGAACATGATGAAACCCCGCCAGGAACCCAAAAAGGCTGGGGAGTGTGGGAGACCACGCGAACAGGGAAGCTGAGCGACACGCATGTCACACACCACAGCCAAAGTTTAACAACCACGTACACTTACATGCAAAAGTACGCGCACATGCAAAAGTACGCACACATGCAAAAGTACGCACACTGTCACACAAAGAAGTCACAAAAGTGCACACACACACACACACACACACACACACACACACACACACACACACACACACACACACAGACGACACACACGACAGACAGACAGACACACACACACACACACGA